CTGCACTCTGTGTTGGTGATACACCACCTCCATCTTCCAACTGGAGCACAACAACTGAAAAGCTGCCTGGCATTACCTGGCAGGCCCATCGTCCTCCTGCCTGAGTTACCTTTCCTGGGAGTGTCAAAATCCTCCCCCTGAGAGTTCTCTATGAACTGTGGCAGAACGACAAAGTTCAAGCACCTACTCTGAGATGCAGCCAGCTTGGGAAATAAAGAATGGTTTATTTTGAATCCTTCCAGATTTAGTGGAAATTTGATTTTAAAATAGAGTCTAAGCATGGAGAATTAAGGCTAAGTCCTCTAGGACAGAGACCCCTCTCAGAAAGCACAGTACAGCCAGACTCTCATCTGAAGTTTCCATTCACATTGCTATTAGGTTTGGGAGGTTGAAACAAACATACACAAAGCTAACTGTAGAGCTTGGGCCAGGAAAAGAAATGGAGCAGAAAAACGTGTTCAACAAAATGCCTATGCTTGGAGCTTTGGATCCTGCAGACCCCAGGAATGGCAGTCCTTACCCTGCATCTCTGAATCTCTCTGTGGTTAATATACACAAGGATCTTAGCTAAGCCCAGCTATATCTGTTGTTAAATGAGTGAATAAAGAAGGAATGAGCCCAAGTTGGGCCACATACCTCCAGTCCCAGCACTCAAGAGTCAGAGGTCTACCTAGACTATATAGAAAACACCTTTCTCAAGACTGGCAACAGGCTGATCTTGTAACGTAAAGCCTTGAGATTCTCATGGCTTTTCACCCTCTTCCTGATGCTCATTTCTGCCCTCAGTCTGCCGAGGACCGACTTCATGAAAAATAAATGCTGCTGAGAGTGCAGGAAGGCAGAGATGCCCCTCAAGGGAGGAAGGGCGTGGTTAGAGACGTAGAGGCCAGACTTGAGTGGGTGGGCAGAACATGGACGCTTTTATGGATTCAGGAGACATTCTGAAAGAGTTTGAGTCTGTTCAACATTATGAAAATGCTAACAGAGGCGACTAGGAGAGGTTGCTATAGGGTTATTTGGTGACATGTGGAGAGAATATGATTCTGGGGGACAGGGAAGGAGACACAGCTGGCAGGGTTTGAGGTCACATGTGAGAAACTCTTATCTGGTAGCTTCTGTGTCTCTTTGTATAAGAAGGGGTAAGGCCAGTTGTTGAAAATGAGAACAGGGCAATCAAAGGGCTGAGACAATTGGAGTTTAAGCTTATCTGGAAAATAAAGAGATGGCTAGAGAATTAAGATAGAGAGCTAAGCAGAGTTGAGAGAAAGGTATGTTGTACAGACCAATTTGTCCCGTCTTCCCATCGCCCTCGGGAGCAGTGTGGTTGCACTGCAGTCCTGGGCTCAGGAAAGGTGAATAGCTTCTTGTCTCCAGGTGAAAGCTTCTTGTCTCCAGGGTTAGGATTTGTAAAGGCCACCGGATGGAGAGTAGTACAGAAATCCAACATTAAGAACCATGGAATTCAAGCTGGATGGTAGAGAAGATTCACAGACACAAGTTAATTGATGTGCTTTCTATAAAACGGGCCATGGAATGATGTTAGACATAGTTCTACATGTTAAGTAACTTACTAAAGTAAATCACTGAGACAATGGTTTGACGAGAAATCACTTACCCTGCTTTTCTCCTTGTTTGAAAAATAAGAAAAAGGGCTGGCAAGATGGCACTTGCAGATAAGCCTCATGACCCGGGTTTCAACCCAGGACCAACGTGGTAGAAGAGAATGAACTTCCATAGGCTGTCTTCACCCTTTAGGACATGTACGTACACACAAACACACACACACACTAACAAAAACTAAATTAAATATTAAAAAGATTCCACCTTATTTTGCATTTTAAAAATTCTGATATCTCTATGATTTTACTGCTATCCTATGTTTTGAGGAAAAATAGTAATGAGGGGATGGCCTGTACCCTAACAGATTTCTCACACAAAGCTGTCATCCTGAATTTCCTTTTCCATCTTTCAATTGTCCCATTAGTCACACACCTATCTCTGTCTCAACAGTGGCCTCTCTTGCCTTTTGTTGATTTGAGAAAATGACTTTCAGGGAAGGATTGTTCTCTGCCTAACCTCAGGGAGCAAGCACTCCATGCCTTTCCAACTCCCTTCAGAGACTCTGTGAGAACAGAGATCTCTCACAGGCAGTCATGAGGCCCTTCACACTTTTCTTTTGAGTGGTTGACTTTCCAGGCTAAACTTTCTCCTATGTGCTGTAGAAATGCCACTGGCATAAGGAAACATTTCACCGGGTATCTTCATAAAGGGCTCTACGGCTGCAAGACATGTGACTTCCCTGGAAACAAGGTCAAGTTAAAGCAGACTCAGCATGCCATGCGTGTGGGGCTGGATGAAATGAGTGACTTCTGAACCTGGTTGCTGTGGCTCTCTCCCTTACGTGAGCCCATGAAGTGTGTTTAGCCTCTTGGGTGGACCCGTCTCGGTTCAGCCTTCTTTCCTTGTGTTAGCTGGTGCAGGGTATACCAGTAGTTCGCAATGCTTTTTTTTTTTCCATGACAGCTTCCTGCTGTGTTTAGAAGTCTCCTCCAGGCCTTCCTGCAGTTGACTTATCCAAATGGGCAAAAGAGATGCTTTTGGCAACTGCAGGCCAACAGGGGTCACCCCTTTCCTGTGAAAGTAACAGAATATCCATGCTTGTGTTTCAGATGAAATGACAGCTGCTGCCTCCAGAGCTTTAGAATGGATGAGAATACACAGCGCTGAGAAAGATGAGCCTCCCTACTCTTAGTTGTAAGAGATGTCTAGAGATGCCTTTCATCCTATGCATCTCCCACAGGAGGTTTCTTGACGGTCAAGGTATTTGCATGCTTGAGCAGCAGGAAGAGACAGAAGAGCAAAACCGGAAATTCTCCAGGAGTGCTTTGTAACTGGCATTTATAAGTACCAAAATTTGGGTCCAGAAGATGGGAAGTTAAGACCAAAGGAAAGTTTAAAAAAAATGAGTGACTGACATCCCCAGAGGTAATAAAATTAGAGAAAATGTGTCCCTGGGTATCTAACTGCTGGAGGCAGGAGCCAGATTTAATCATTTTAGTCATTTTCTAGTATTGATTCATCCACAAAGTAAGTCTTGTCTGTTCAACAGAAATTGTTCCAACTGTATCCAATAGTCAGTAGTTCCAGAACCAGGTAAGAAGAGACCCCCGGTAGAATCCCTGATTAGTGCTTTGTGTGGGTCATGCTAAACCCTGTGCATCTGACTGACAGCAGTGGATTTTAAGTCACTGAACAGTGAAGTCAAAAAGGAGCCAGGAAATGTTTTCTAGCTAGCTTTCATGCCATATGTACTACCGGAAGACCTAATGGCTGCTGTGGAAAGCACATTGCATTGGGAGGCTGAAGAGAGCTCAAGAAATTCCAGTACCAGGCAAGCTTTTAAAAGGACTATTTAAAATAAATGGCAAATATCAATGTTCTTGTGATAGAGATCAGCATCCCTTCAGTGAACACCAGGAAAAGTACCATGGGCGTCTGGAACAAGTGAAATACACATCTTTTAGAATTCTAGTAAAATGATAATCCATTTAAGCCCAGTTTATAAATAGCTTATGTGAGGCTTTGCCTCATAGAACTCAACAGTGTCTGTCAAGAACACAAACGCCTGGAAAGACATCACAGTGGGGAACTCGGGGAAAGAAGGCTGCATACAAAACAAGAAGAGAGTACATTCCGGATTACCTCTGCTAGCATAAGAAAGGCATGTGGTGACCAGATTAAGGGGACAAGACAGATAAGCAATCAAGGGTCTAGAAAGATAAGCAAATGTGTTGTTTCCCAGTTGGGATGCTATAGGCAGATAGGGCTGAATTCCAAGATGTTGGTATGCTTCTTGTATCCTGGGCTAATTTTAAGTTGTCATTTGCCATTTACCCCCTTGATCCCCGAAGAATTGTGTTTGTCTCAGTCTTTACTGGATCTGATCACCAATCACTTAGAATTACGGCAGATGTGGATTCCGTAAGGTAAGGACCCCCCTACTCCAGCTTCATCCCCAAATCCATCAAGTCTGGTTTTGTAGTCCCCATTCTCAAGCCTAGCTCAGTTTAAGGAAGAAAGAAAAAATAATACTAATGATGAAGTGGCTTGAGGGACACATTATCCTCCTTGATTGATGAGCTGTCAGCTATATCACTTGGGATCCTGTGGAGAAATTTGTAAACAACTGGAAGAATTTACTGATCTCTGGCCAGTTGTGAAATTTGGCACTCGGTGTTTGTTTCTTAATGTGAGGGGATTAACTCTAGAATTCGGAGTCTTCATGTGTGGTTAGGGAAGATGTATTCCCAACAGCTTCAACCACATGTGGATACAGAGAAGCCACAGAGAGCTGCTGTAAAGCAAAACTAAATCCTTTCCTAAGCAATGTGGCAGCTTATCTTTATTCTCTCTCTCTCTCTCTCTCTCTCTCTCTCTCTCTCTCTCTCTCTCTCTCTCTCTCTCTCTCTCTCTCTCTCTCTCTCTCTCTCTGTGTGTGTGTGTGTGTTCTGTTCTGAGAAGTCCTGGGCTTTTGCTTAACATGTCCTTTGTTTTGTTTTGCCTGTGTCTCTTCTCTAGTAAACACAGGAGGCTGTGTCTATTTTATCCCAGCTCAAGGCAGATGTGCAGCAAATGTTAGCAGACTCTGTTTTCTTCTTCTAATGACAATGATGAGGAATTCAGACAAAGAGCAAAGTTGTTTTTTTGCCAGTACAGCCTCAGACAACAGCTAAACCACCAGCTAATTAACCCCTGGGTCTCAGGCTTTCCCTGGGGGCTTCAAAACTACAGAGCCAAAGTGAAGAAGGCAGGACCCCATTAGCACTACATAATGTAAGCAAACACTTCATGTGTTTGTTTTGCCTGCCTGCTGACCGCCTGCTTCCCATTCTCCCAGGCAGGTAGCATATATGGGATGTCCTGGCTGCAGTCCTGCAGAGCAAGCCTCCCCTTTGGGCCTGGCCGTCTGCGAACCTAATCTCAGCCTCTGGGCCCAGGTAGCATGTATCTCCTCTTCCTTCAGTTGCTTGTGCTTTTGCCTCTGGGGAAGGCAGGCCGATGTTCAGGTGGCTGCAGGAGTCAGAGTCCCTTTTCCTTTGTGCTCCTAGAGAGGGGTCGCAGAGATCTCCACACGGCTAGCCAAGAGGAAGCAGAAGACAGGCCAGATCTGTTTGTCGCAGTGCCACACCTCATAGGTGCCAGCCTGGCTGGGGAAGGCCAGCGGCAGAGAGAGGAGATGCTGTCCAGGCTTGGAAGACTCTGGAAGAAACCCGAGATAGAACTTCACCCCAGGAAGGATGTGGAAAATGATCACGTCCCATTGGGGGTTCAGGCCTTCCCTCAGTCAGCAGCTGAGAGGAAAGTGGAGAGGTCACCTCTACAGGAGGAAGCCAAGAAATTCTGGCATCGCTTCATGTTCAGAAAGGGTCCAGCATCCCAGGGGGTCATCTTGCCCATCAAAAGCCATGAAGTACATCGGGAGACCTGCAGGACGGTGCCCTTCAACCAGGTATGCATTCTGGAGTCTGCAAGACTTGGGGACAGCTAGGACAGATGACAAGAGCCTGTGCCTTGCCTTGGGTATTCATTGTGGGAGTTGGCAAAATGTGATCGTATTTCCATTTCCCTGATTTCCTTCTCACATTTCCGTTGTTTCTTGGCATGCTGGAAATGCTTGATGCTAGTATGGGGCATGGTCAGGATTGGTAGTCACCATTTTGAGCTTTGCTGAATGTGTGTATTTTTATGGGCTATATTATCCGTCTAGAAAAGTAAGAGTATGCTCTCAGTTAGGAAACTGGGAATGGAGAGCAATTGCCAGAACTACCTTGCAGAATATCTCCATATTCACAAAGATGTAGAAAAGCATGTAAATCAAACTGGAGGCGAGGTGTGATACCCTGGATATGTGAGGTGGGATACCCTAGACATCTCCCTGGGTATCCCTACACCTTACTACTTCACAGGTTCACAAATGTTTTCTTTAATACTTGCTAAAATTATTTGATGTTTAAAATGTTCCTGCAGAAACTCTATGTTGCGATTCTCACTATCATTTCTTGGCATTGTGATAGCAAAACATAATTGAGAGTGTAATTTATCTTTCTCAAAGGTTTTCAAAAATAGCCTTAATGTGAAATCACATCTCTTTCCTTATCCGACTTCCTAACTTGTGCTGGCTAATTTATAGTGACCCTGATCAGTTCTGCACTATTAAGACAAAGGAACAGTCTACCATTCTGCTTCCCCCAGAGCTGGCAACACCTACATTCCAAATGCTAAATTAAAGTAGAGAAAATGCATCAAAAAGACACTGAACCAGAAGCAGTGCAGGAGAGACTAAAATTTTACAGTCTAGTAACAGTGCCCAATTAAGTAGGCAGTATTCTAAGGCAATTGGCTGTGCAGCAATGACCAGTCAATCATCAAGTAATAATATCTGCTTTGCTGGTCCATGTGCAATTAGAAAATTGCTCCTAAGACTCGGGCAATCAAGTATCGTTTGAAAGTCTTACCTTTTAATTCTATTGCTAATTAAATTAAGATTAAGGAGTTTGACTCAGCTATTTTGAAAGACACAGAAAACTGTGTTTATGAGGTTCTGAGCCAGCAGCAAAGGTGATACAGCATAGGTATATACATTGTGACTCTGTGGCTTTGCAGATTTGAATGCTTTACTGCTTGAATAAAATAGGACAGACTTAAACTCATGGTATCTCGCCTGTTCCATGAAAGTGACCAGCATTTATCGAGAAGCTGCTGTACACAATGCACTATGGAAAACAGAAAGGTGGGGGTGTAGTAGTTAAATAACAAGGCTGCCATTACAGCTTTTTGTTTCCAATTGGTTATAGCCAACTAGATGAAAACTCTTTAAAGTATGGTGTTAGTAGTGGGAATTATTTTCACGTTAACTTAAGGCTTTCTAGAAGCTAACTGCTGAGTTACTCAATAAAGAAAGCTTTGGAGAGGCAGCCTTGCCCCCAATGGGCTCCCTCTCTTGGATATCACACAGAGCATTCCCAACTTAGATTATTCTGCATCGTCCTTCTGGGTCATGAGCGGTACGAAATGCCTGGAGGTGACCTAATAATCGGTTTGCCTTTCAGACAATTGCCCACGAAGATTGTGAAAAAGCTGTTGTCCCAAACAACCTTTGCTTTGGGAAATGCGGGTCCATTCATTTTCCCGGAGCCGAGTCACATCGCTACAACTTCTGCTCCCACTGCTCGCCCACCAGATTCACCACCATGAGCTTGAGGCTGAACTGCACTGGCTCAACCCCCGTGGTCAAGATGGTGATGCAAGTGGAAGAATGCCAGTGTCTGACAAAGACCGAGCATGGAGAGAGGCACTTCCCACTGGCGGGGTCCCAGGAGCCTTTCGTCCCTGGACTTTCAGATTCAAAAGCCATCCCATGATTTCTCCTGGAAACAGAATCTCAACAGAAAAAGCGGTTTCATAAGGGGAAACAGGCCCACCCCCATTTTATCCCCACTTGTGTTTAGACAGTCTTATGTCTTCGTTGTGGTTACATAAAGGGAAAGTAGCCCCTCCCCCATTTTTTCCACTCGTGTTCAGACAGGGTCTTATTATTCTGGGCTGGCCTCAAACTTGTTATATGGCTAGGGATAACTTTAAGCTCTGGGTCCACTTCCTGTGCGTTGGGATTTCAGGCGTACACTGTAACACCTAGCTCTCAGTTAAAGGGATTTCTAAAAGGATTCTGCATGCTTCCAAGCTGCCTGTGAGATTTATGAAATATTTTGATTCTAGTGAATGACTCTTGCCATAGATGTGGGAAGCAGCTTGTTTAATGGCCCATGTTTTTTTTTCCCTTTTTGTACTCCCTACATGAAGTTTGTACTGTTGGTTACCTGACTTTGAAGAAGGGAGACTGATGCTACTCTTAGAAGTTTACACACAGAGGGATCTCAGGAACCAAACCGTTTCCTGGAGTATGAGGAAAATGGGTGTACAGTATTAGGGTCAAGCCCCACTCCCCGTGGAAGTTACTAAGAAACTCATTAAGTCTCAAATACATTGCAAGTCATTTTAAAAGGAAACAGTTTATAGGTGAAATCTAAACACACACACATACACACACACACACACACACACACATGCCTTTGAACCTTGTAGCAAGCTGTGTTTCTGTGTCTGGGCTTCTTGCTATTGTAAAAGAGTATGTGTGACAAATAGAACTCAGCAGTTGCTTCGATGTCAAGCTCTGAACATGATTGGACTGCTGTAACACATTAAATTTTAGCACATAAAGAATTCTTGGAAATACTGTGGCACATAAATGCCTGGTATTGGTCTTTCTGGAGCATTTCTCAAATGACTTCATGGGCTTATGACACTGGCCGTGGGCTTCGGATTCCACAAGCAGCCCCTGTTTAAGTCATTCAGTCACTGTCTCTTAGCAACTGTCTCTTTCCTGCCTGCATTTGTTTGTGTCCAGATATTATACAGCATTGGCTTTCTCTGGCCAGATTACTTTTAATAGTAATTTTTGAATATTTATTTAGAAATTACTTGATTTAGATCCCTCTACTTTTAGTACCCACACCCCTCCACACACTCCTCTGAGTAATGACTAATTACTGTTTATAAAGAAATTAATTTTACATTTTAATTTTATTCCTCCTAAATCACCATCTAACATGATGCTCTGAAGAAGCAAAAGCATTTATAGTTAGTGTGTATTATGCAACATATCAATGTAATAGAATATGAGCTACAGAAATACACATGTGGCATTTACAACAGAATATATTATACCCTTTGGTGGTCAAAGACAACCTAATTGACCAAGATGTGGTCATAAGGATAAAATTGTTAAGCATTAATGATATCCCAGCTGGTCAATATATTTTGGTGCCAAAAGCTATTGAGCATCTGTCTAGTGTGCAACTGCCTAACCCTGATTATGTAAACCCATCTCTGCCAATTGGGGTCCCCTTCTCCTCCTTACATACTCACAAATCCCTTTTATCTATACTTGCAAATAGACTCTCAAGCCCAAGCTCCAAACAATCATTAGTTTTATTCAAACTTCTGGCTTGTTCTTTCCTTGCATGCAAACTCCAGACAGGCTAGCTGATAGAGGGGTCAGAGATTGCATTCATAAAGTGATTTATGGGACGCTCATATGAGCATCCATTCACTAACATTTTACTTGCAAGAAAAAGCAGTGTCCAGTGGCTCAATGTACGAAACACAGGAGCATGGGATACTGATGGGAGGAAATACACCAACAGTGTGTCCATCAGACAGCAGATGCGTCTTTTAAATCCATCTACTGCTCTCCAAAAAACTTACGAAGCAGGCAATCACCTATCTTCGCCGGAAAGGGAGTCAAACCTGTAAGCTCAAGCAACTTGTCTAAACTCGCATGGGCAGTACTTTCCTTTCTTTTAATAGACTTGAGAAGCTAGATTCACTTATGGCTGTATTTCAGTTTGTGTATAGACTAGTTCACAGCAAAAGATGACAAGACAGCACTCCTTCTGTCGCGCTCTGGTCCAGATATATTTGCTATATTTACATAGCTAGGGGACCACATTAAGCATGGAAGTTTTTCATTTGTGGTACTGACTGATGTTCTACACAGGGCATCCACAAAAAAGCTATTAATCAAGGACCTCCTCAGCTTTTTAGTGACGGACTCGGGTCTTCCTATTCATCTACTTGACATTCCCTGTGGAGTGTCTGTTTGTATTAAAATATTAGCTCATTCCTTCTCCATCATTTTAGCTTTATATCTCGTGGGTCTCTTATTGACGATGTCTCACCTAGTTGTTCTATCCGAGTATGTCCCTGGACCAGGTTCTATGTCAAATATTACAATGACTTCATTTGTTCTTACTATAAATGCCTCTCATAAAAAAGAAAAGATAGAAAGGAAGAAGGTTTGGAGCTGGGAAAATGGCTCAGTCAGTAAAGTGTTTGCCATACAAGTTTTGAGACTTGAGTTCACGTCTTCAGTACCCATGTGAAAGTTAAGTGGTGACACAGATCTGTAAACCCAGCCCTGACGCGCGTGTGTGTGTGTGTGTGTGTGTGTGTGTGTGTGTGTGTGTATGCGCGCGCGCGCGCGCAGATTGCTGGAGCTGATGGATCAGCCAACCTAGAGAAATCCATGAGCTCCAGGCTTAGTAGGAGATCCTGTCAGATGGATACTGAGGAAGACACCCAACATTAACCTCTGACTTCCCTCCACAATACTCATTCCCACGAATATGTATTTTTAACTTTGGATCTCCTCTGCTATTTTGGCAGTCTTGTACACACATTGCTCAGTAGCACACAACATTCTTTTTGTGTGCATGCTTTACTCAGCAAAGATTCCTTAGGTACACATATGCTGTGTACTAGCTTGAGTGCAAGTTAAACAGAATCTTGGCTCCTGTAGAGCTTCCATTCCTGTGGTGGGATGGTCAAGGAACTTGAAAATCCAACAACTGAAAAGGGAGAATGAACTGGGTATATGGTGTATGCAGTGCAGCGTGCTAGAGACAGGTTGTTCTCTGTTGCATGGTCTTTGGAAGCCGAGACATTAAAGTAGTGCCCTTTTAATGGTTGACATATCCTCCTTCAATGGTCTATGGCGGCTTCTTCTCTGCACAGTACTGTCTTATTTCTCCAACACCTTTTGGATATTTTTCCTAAATGTTTCTCTATAAGCTGACATTCAGTATTCCCTACCGAGAGTAGCAGAGTGAGATTTAAGATTTGTGTGTACTTGTTTTTGGCATTTGTTGACAAGGGTCTATGTTGTTTTTTATACATAATGCATTTGTCACTGGTTGGCTTTGCCTCTGCTTCACATTCTTCCAGGGCCTACGCATTTGACAGGAGCAGACACTTCTGGAATAATCATGTTATCTGAGACAAAGAAAGGAAAAGATAGTACAACTATTATTGAAGATTGTTTGAGAAGTAACACAAATGACCCTTATCCCATGGTTAGGCCAAACAAGCTACATGGCAATCCTGATTCCAATGGTGTTTGAGGATATTATTGATATTATTATTTTAAATAAAGGATTTCATCTAGCTCAGGCTGGCCTATAACTCACTAATTTAGCTAAGGATATAGAACTTCTGATTCTCCTATCCCCACCCCCAAGTGGCAAGGTTACAGGTGTTTGCCATCACAGCCAGTTTCTGGTATTTGGAAGTACAGGATTTTCTTTGACCTGATCATTGAATCGCTAATTAAGAATGTCATTCAATCCCTGAATTTTTAGGAGATTTATTCTATGCAAGACACTACACTAAGAACTCAAAGCTATTTAAAGATAAACAGGATCCATTTCCTTCTACTTCAAACCTTCCAATGTGCAGTAAAGATGATGTGCACAACAGATAAGGCATGACTCTTGCAGACACAGAGCTTCTAATCCTTGAGACTTTACTATGTGTTTGGATGCTTTAATTCCTTTTAGGAGACATTTCCTGGTTATGTGTTATGTGAATGTTATTGAGAACAGAATCTATGGCCTCATGCACAGCAGGACAGCTTTCTACCCAACCCTTATATATAGTTTTTTTTGACCAGGAATTAAATACTTCATTCATTCATGGGGGCTAGAAAGGTTGCTTAGAGGGTAAGAGCACTGGGTGGATGATTCAGAAGACCAGGGTTCTAGTCCCAGCACCTAAATGGTGACTCAGAGCCATTTGTAACTCCATTTCCAGGAGCTTCTCTGGCCTTCAAGGGCCCTGCAGATAAATCATATACAGATCCATATGCAGACAAAATACCCATACACATAAAATAAAAATAAAGGAAAAATTTTTAAGCATTTCATTCATTCAGTCTCTATATTTATGTGTGTCTGAGATGAACACAGTACAAAGAATATGAATAAATAGACACATGATTATCTGGACTTAATCCCAGACCTTTGAAGTCTACAGTACAGGAGCAAGTGAATACATGCTTTTGCTTCCCATTCAATCTTTTATAAAGCATACTGTGTTGATCACTCCAAAATCTCACCCCCAAGCCCAAAAACTGCTTTCTGAGGGAAGCCTTCCCTAGCCCAGCCAAGCTTGGGTTCACTGTTTGCATGCCTCCATGGTAATGCATTTCTTTACAACATACTTCACCTCAGATCGCAATTATAGTTCTGTTTGTGTCATTAACTGAGTTCTAAGCTCCATGAGAACAGAGGTTGTATGGGGGACTCTTTCCCCATTGTAGTCAGTGACGCCCTAGTATGGAGTATTTAGGAGCTTGATAAATAGGGGTGTGTAGGTACAATATTAATGTACATCATATGCTGAACATAGATAATGTGTCAAGAACAGTGCCTAAAGGTTAGGGAGTGTCAGAAGGGAAATGACTCTCAGGCTCAACTTTCTTCCCACACTGCTTCAAGATAGAAAAATTTTAAAGGGAATAAAATAAGCATAAATTGTCTCATGAACTACTCTTGGAAGGGTGGCTTAAACATGTGGGGCTTGTGAATATCAGTGCACACATGTAAACAAAACAGAGTTTTTGAGTAGAATACTGTAAAAGATGTGTCTGGATCATTGAAATGTGCACAAACATTGGGAGTATTCAGGGAAGAAAGCTTTGCATTTTCCTGAGTGTCTCCAAGCTTTCCCAGAGGCAGAGATTGTACTGCAAGGTAACAAATAGAATAGAGAGGTAGACCAGAGGTCAGAGATGCCTGAAGAAACCGCAGAACAGTCCTGCACAGGCCTCTTCCTGTGGGAAGGCTGGAAGGTCAGGTTTCTGTTGGGGACAGAAGTCCTAGTTTTGAGTGCACCCCACGGTTGCTGTTTGCCTTGTTTAAGCTAGATCTGCACTGTGGAGTCTGGAGTGCTGACAAGGTGAGTAACCTCACTGAGTGAGGAAGGGCACTTTCCTGGGAGCTTCCTAAAGCGAAGCCTCCTGCCCCCACCCACACTGTCAGCTCAGACTGTCATGCCATTGCTTCAGCTCCCCCTCTCCTCCTTCCTCCTCCCCTTCTCTGGAAAAAACAAAAACAAAAACCACAAAATAAACAAGCAGCAGAGACTCA